GATGAAAGTTGAATTTTAACACATCTGAAGGGCAACAGGTTAGGGAAAACTGACAGACAGGATTTACAGTACTTAGACAGGTCAGATATAGTATACATTTCTGATAAATGCTAATTTTATAGGATATTTTTGAGAATGAATGCATCAAATGGGAGGACAGAATGGTTTTCTCAGAGCTTTTGATGTATGAACTGGACAATAAAGCTTGTGGGGAAGACCAACTTTATACAGTGGTTGGTATCAAAGGTCAGTCTTCTAGTACCAAGGAAAGTTTTGCTGAAACTTATTTCTAGGGGAACCAATCATACCCTTTTATAGAAGGTCTGACTAGAAACATTGGCTGATTGAATCTCACAAGGATTCCAGGACTGCCATTAGAAGCAGGTGTGATGTGACCTTTGCTTTACTTCGATTGAAAGAGCTTTAGAGCATAATCCTTTGTATGTTTGTTTAGACCAAAAAGTCCCACAGCTCTCAGAATTCCCCACCCAACATAGATTGGGTCCTAGATATATTTATTTTTCCACACTTGTTTGCTTTACATTTGTTTGGTTTAAAGTTGTTTGAGGATCCAAATATTCCCAATCATGAGAGGAAAATACTTTTGCAAAAGTGAGGAAGGGGTTACTTTTGCTTCCCTTTTCCTCACGTTCAGTGCCAAAGTGGAACCTTCAACTTTTCAGGAGTGAGTTTTGGTGTGAGGACATGAGTATCTGCAGTGGGAAGTGTATGTTCATATGCACATGCTGCTGGGCTCTTTCCCCCTTTCTTGCTCCTCATTATTTTGCGCACTTACCATTGTTTAATGGGGGTTCACATTTATTTTAAATTTCCCCTTATGCAAAGAATAGCAGAAGAAATATGTGAAGCAGGGATCTGTGTACTGTAAGCAAAATAACAGTGACCTTCCTGAACATGCTGCAAGGGAACAAATTCCGCCCTTCCCTCTGCCACAATTCCCATTATGTTAGAGAAATATTAAGGATTGTAATAAAATGTACTGTGAGGTTTCAGTCAAATTTTCTTGGAAGCACCTGTTCAAGAAATTAGGCGAAAATATTCCAAAAATCCAAGTACACTGTATCTGTTGAATTACTTGTGTCCTTGTTTAAATCCCTAGGAATTCAACTACATTAGTGAGATTCAAGTTCAGCTTGTAGAAGCTATGTTTGATTTTTGTAATCAGCATGTTTGTTTATATGTTTAGCAATTCCAGCCTTGGTGCCTTTTCATCAATATGCTTGTTGAAAATTTGGACAGAGTCCTCCTATGTGCTGTTAGCTCCCTAGATTCTTTTGAAAAGTCAGTTTTGTGCTAGCTACTTTCTGTTGCCTGATAGAGACTAATGTTGTATTATGGGTTCACAGCTTTGCAGTTTCAAATTTAAATGACAATCTGATTCCTATTTTTTCTGTTTAGATGGCTTTGTTCTGAAACCTTTCTTTATTCCCTCTATTTGAAGTACTTCTGTTGTATTGACTAGAATGAGCTGAGATGTGGATATTTTTGTCCTGTATTGTTGGTACTGAACATGGTTAGAATTCTTAAATTCAATTTCTCAAGGGCTGCTTTTATGACCTTATCTAATCTTTTCTGT